GCAGGTCCCTAATCTCTCTGTGCTCTGGGTGGGGTGATGACAGCATGCCACCCGGGGTGTTACATGTCGGCATTCACTAAATCCCCATTAGACACCGTGTCAGATAAAGGCACTCACTGCCACAGCACCGCGCCAGCCCTGCCCCCCAGGAGTGTCCCAGGCCCGGTGGGGCTCCAGCCCAGCCCTCCCGGGGCAAACAGCCTATTTACATCCATCGCCCAACAGACGGCCACGCTCTTGTCCGCCTGCAGGACCAGCACGGCGGCTCCGCATGCCTGGTCCCCGTGCCCAGTGTGTGCTGAGTGGATGACACAGTCATTAAGCTCCAGGACCGGGATTTCCTCCCCAGCATCCCCGATGCCCACAGAGCCCCAAGTGACCCTCTGGCCCCGTGACCTTGACTCCTGACCTCGGTGTCGTTAGGGGCGGAAGCCCATGTCTACAGCCTGCAGATCCCTCTGGGACGTGGGGCGGAGAGGTGGGGGGTAGGGGTGGTGAGGACAGACCCTCCCAGGCAATGTGTCCAGCCTGGACGGCTCTAAAGCTGCCGGTCCAGTGTGACACCTTCGCTGCCAGATGGAGCTCCGCCAAAGGTGGTTTCTAAAGCCTCCTCAAACCGAGAGAAACCCATTCACCATCACTTGTGCATGTCCTGTGACCAGAGCCACAGGGAACAAACTTACCACCACGTCTGCATCTGGGTCCGAGGTCAGGTTATCCAAACGCCCCCAAGCTACACACACAAGATTCCGCAGCAGGACACAGGACTACGGCGCTCAAGCCCAAGACCCCGAGAGCTCAGTGTCCCTCTAACCCAACCCCCTCATCCCAGAGGGAGAGGGCAGACGGACGGGTAGGGCGTGAGGCGACGGCCCAGGTTACCAGCCCCAACAGCCCAGGCCCGGAATCCAGGCTGCCACGTCTGGCCTGGCACCCTGGTCCCGTCCCACCCCGGCCTCACCCGCCTTCCTCCCCAGTGGGCTCGAACGCCACCCGCCCTCGGCCTCTCCCTGCCTGAAACTCGCCTTCGATGACGGGAAGTCTGTCAGAAAGAGCTTCCTGGGCAGCATGGGCTCAGCACGAGCCAGGCAGCGCTCTCCCTGTCCTTCCGGAGGGCAGAGGTCACACTCGGCCAGCAGTAAGCAGCCTTCTGATTTATTTCCCTGTCCAAGCTCACCCACGGCATTTCGGACGTGGTGATGGCCAGGAGGGCACCGGTGAACCCGGGCCACTTGCCCGGGCCCTGAGGGCACTGCCTCCCCGAGTCGAGGGTGAGCTCCTGACCAGGGCCCGGCTGGGACGGCAGCTTTGCTTCCACAGTTGCTGAAAAAATGACTCAACAGTAATGTGGGCCGGCTTCCTGCAGAGCAGCTCAAAGCCTTTCACTGACTTCTGAACCCCGGAGGGTCAGTGGCTTACAGCTGAGCAGAGTGGGAACTCTGCCTGAAGTCACAAAGCCAGGTGGGAGTCAGGGAACATATCCAATCCTCTCCCCCTTCCTCTGGGGTGGATCCCCTCGTCAGTAAGGTGACAGTCACAGCCGAGCAGGGCAGTGCAGAGGGAGGGAGATGGGAGCTCGAGTCTACAAAGTGAAGCGGCGGGTGTGCAGGGAGCCTGGCTGGGTCCCAGTGCTGAGTAACCGCACAGCATCCTGAGCCCAGCGCCCTCGGCCCCATGACAGGAGCACAGCACGGGGAGCCTGCTCTCACGCGCAGCTCAGCTGCATCCCAGGCGTCTGGTTAGAGAGAGGGACGGAGGTCCTGTCAGACCCGCAGGCCCGCGCCTGCCTTCAGGGAGGTCCCCTGTGACTCTAAACACGGTCACGCGAGCCGCTCTGGTGTGTGGAGTGGTCAGTACATCCCACGGCCAGCGCTCAGCATGGAGGTTAAGAGCAATTAGCACTTAAAAGAGCCCAAGACACAGGCCAAGGCTCCTATGAGGAAACACTCAGAAAAACTGATTAACTTGCCCAGGTCATACAGAGGCATCGGAATTCAACCCCAGACCTAGGGCTCCTCTGTACCCCTGGGCCTGTCCTGCTGAAGTCCTAACTCCCCACAAGGCACCATGCTCACTCACTGGGATGTTCTAAGAAGCAACATCCACATGTTATTTTAAAAGAACTTGCTGGTCACCATGCCCTCTCCTGTTGAGGGCTCAGACTCTGGGCTTCTGGGTGGCTGTCTGCTGCCAGCCATTGCCTTAGAAAGGAAACTTTAAACTCACCCCATAAACCTGCTCTCCCTTCACCCATTAACACCTTCTCCATGGGGAAACAAGAGAAACAGGGCAGGGTATCAAGGAGGAGGCATCTTTTTGACTTCCACCTCCACCACTTGCCTAGCCCCTCCCTGTGCAGGCTCCCCAAGCTGGAGTCGGCCAGGGGCCATGGTTCTGGTTCCCCCAGAAATTACCAGGCAGAATGGCAAGTAGTAGAGCCACTAGGGGCCCAAACCAAGAGGCCACACGGGGCCTGTGAGGATTAAACGTGATCAGTGTCAACCCTGCAGCCCAGGGCAAAGTGACTGTGTCATAGTCCCAGTGACACATCCGGGTCAGGCCTGGGCACAGGAAATTTCCCGAGTCGTCTTCCAAAGTGTGGAAGTCCAAGCAACAACTGGGATCGGTTTAACACCTGTCCAGGTGGAAGTAACAGAAAAGCCAGGCTTTCAGGATTTCAGAGGGGATAATTCTGGAAGCTTATACCCCACAACAAACCTGGGACATGAAATCTCAGGTTCATACAGAGACAGATTCAAATGGGACTGTGGCAAGAAGCTCCCCATTTCCTTTTGTACGGACCCAGCAGGGGATCCTGTGAAAATGCCGAGTTGGTCTCAAGGAATCTCAGTGGGATCGGAGAGCTTACATTTCTAAGCGCTCCCTCGAAGGTCAAAGAGCCCACACTTTTGAGCAGCCAAGGTTTACACAGCGAGGAACAAATAAATACAAGGAGAGCGTAACTGGATTTTAAAATCCACGGAGGTGTAGGGACCCTCCGTGAAGGTGTGCGTGGAACCAGCCCACCTAGTAGGTGGGAGGCACGCAGGAAAGCAAAGGGCATTCTTTCTTCAAGCGCATCTGCAATCTACATCGCCGCTGGGCAGGTGTGAGGGCGCGTTAGGGTCCTGAAAGCAGTGCTCTGGCAGAACCTTGGCAGCAGCTTGGCTCGGGGAGCAGGCACCCAGGGTATTTCCACTCCAGCAGCTGTGGACAGGCGAGCTCTCGCGGCCTTTCTTACATTCTGCCCATGGACCTCCTCTCTGTACATTACATTCGATGCTGTTTCTGAGGACAACTCTAACTTATCTGAACGCTCACCAACATGTCAGTTACAGAGAATCCCGAAATAGGAAGATGGATGTGGTTGTAGGGTAAGGAGGGACCTTATATTGACTAACCCGGCTCAGTGTGTGTGTGTGGGGGGGAGGGGGGGATCGTCACACACAGACAGGGCTTGGCAGTGATAGGGTCAGAGATTAAATTCCACCTCTTCTTTGGATCAGAAGTGCCAGCACACAAGAGCCTCCACAGGCCCTCACAGGACATTCCCCAAGACCAAGTGGGAGGTAATCTGACCCCGGCTGCTCTTCCCCAGGAACACATCTGCCTGCAGGAGACAGGCCTGCCTTGCACACTGGCTGGGAATACCAGGGATGTTTATTGCCATTCCTGTCCTGACCTTTGACAGCTGGGTTTATGCTCAAACTACAGACACAACGAGCCCGGGAGTGATGTCAGGCGCTAACATCCAGCTGCCAGAGAGAAATGCTGAGTGCACACACTGCCCAGCGGGGAAGGGATTTCCTCCCCGCAGCACCGCTAATGGGAGAGATGAGCACTAACAAGAAATGCCAGGGCCAGACCGCCCGTCCGCTGTGCCAGACCCCATAATTCACGCGCACAGTCCCAGGCTGCTTCCCGCTCCCGGTCCGCCTGCAGCCCTGGCGCTCACTGCTGAGCTCCCTGAGTGGGCAGGACCTTGCCCCTGGGAAGGCGACTCAGCAAACTTCTGGAGGAGGGCAGCCGGCTCTTCCCCATCTGTCCCCTGGGGGAGGAAGTGAATTCTCTGCAGGCACCTTCCTGGGCCAGAGCACGCCTGACTTCCAGGTCAGCATTGCAGAGCCGGCTCCATCACCTCAGGCCGCTGTGTCCAGTTAGGTCCCATCCCAGAGGGCACCGGAGGCCGCGGGAGGTCACACTCACCAGCCAAGGTGGATCTGAGCTTTAGCCAGCGGCCTGGGAGGCTGGACTCTCCCGGGAACAGGCCAGCCTTCCCAGCCCCTTGGTCCTCTGCCAACCTCGTCCACTGCCTGACAGCTGACTCCCACTGTCCCCTGAACACGTGGCAACAAGCGGCAGCTACTTCCTGAGCCATGAGCCAATGCCCAACATGCCATGTTTTTGTTAAGATGTCCAATACCTGCAGATAAGTTAGCAAGTAAAACATGCCTTTATCTGACCTTAGCAAACTCATGTTGGCATGGAAAAAAGAAACCCGAGTCCCATTTCACCCCTGGCCTGCCTCAAGGGGATGTAAGAAGGGCTTGGCATTTTTTGAGAAAAGGAAAAGGAAAATGCCAAGTCTTGCTGAGACATGGGAACCCTTGAGCAGGAGTTTCTCAGGAGGGATTCGCCGCGTGTCAGGGACAAGTTGAGGCTCACATGCGCCTCTGAGCTGCCAGCGGACCCGTCGCTCCACTGTGCTCGCCAGGTCTCCGGCGGGAGGGCGCGCATCTCCGCCTGAGGCTGGAGGTCCGCTCCGCGATGGAGGGTTCGGCGCCGCTTTTTAAGGGGCTCCCGCGACTCCCAGCTCTGCGCCCGCGGCGTGGCCGTGCGCTTCTGCTCTGCGGCTCTCACACTCAGGCTGGGGGCGCTCCCACCCCCGCGTGCCCCGTGGATGGAATCGGGGCCAGAAGCGGGGACCGGCGGTTCGGGGAGCGGGGAGGACCGGCCCCGCGGCCCCGCGCCGGCGGGGGGCACGGAGCGCCCGCACTCACCGGGACCGCTGCAGCTGCTCCAGGGCGCTGGCGCCGCACGCCGGGCCCTCCAGGGCGCACAGGGGCTGCGAGGTCGGCCTGGCGAAGGCGACGGGCAGGATCCCCGGGGTGAACGAGCCGAGGCGGCCCCGGCTGCCGCCGCCCCCCGGGGTCGCGGGGCCCAGGAAGGCGGCCACCGGCCCCTGCGCGCCCGCGAAGGCGTCGTCCTCCTCCGGCTCCTCCGGCCCGTCGGGCGGCGGCGCGCGGGCGGCGGGGCCGGGCAGCGCGGCGGGGCCGCCGGGGGCGGGGGGCGGCGGGGCGGGCTGCGGGAGGCAGGGCCCCGGTCCGGCCTCCGGCGGCGCCGTGCCCGCCGCGGCGAGCGGGCTGAGCCGGCCCCGGGCGCCGCGGTCCTCGCCGCCGCCCTCCTCGTCCTGCAGCGGCGGCCGCCCGTCCAGCGAGATGCGGGTGAGGAAGGAGAGGGCGGCGCGGCGGCGCCGCGGGTCCACGCGCGGCTTCCGGGGCTCCGGCGGCCGGGCCGGCGCGGCGGCCGCGGGCGGGGGCGGGGGCGGCGGCTGCGCTCCGCCGGCGCCCGGGGCGTCGGTGCTGCAGGCGGCGGGGCCGGGGGTGGCGGCGGCCGCCATGGTGCCCGGAGGCGGCGGTCTGTCTGCGGGCAGTCTGTCCGCGGCCCCGGCTAAGCGGCGGGCGCGAGCGGCGGCCCGGGCTGGGCAGGGCGCGGGGCGCGGGCGGCGTGCGCGGCGGCCCGGCCCCCCCGCGGGCGGCCCATGCCGGCCCCTGGCGGCCCACGCGCGGCTCCTGGCTCCTGGCTCCTGGCTCCCGGCTGCCGGCCGCGGGCCCCGGGCGGCCGGTCGGTGCGCCGCTCCTCCCGCGCTCCCGGCCGCGGGCCCGAGTCCGTATTTATAGGCGCGCGCCCCGCTCCGGCGCTCAGTGTCACGTGCGGGCGGGACCTGCGGGAAAACAAAGCCGCGGGCGGCGGAGGCCGCGGGGGGGCGGGGGGCGGGGGGAGGAAGAGAAAGTGCGCGGGTGGCTGGCGGGACCCGCCCGGACGTCCGCGCTTCCCGGGAGGGAGGTGTCTCCCCGGACTCCCGGGACCAGGGAGGGCGGCAAGGACACTCCGGGGCGCGCGCATTCCGGGGCTCGGGTGCGAGCAGAGCCCTCAGTCGCGGGGTGAGCTGGTCCCCGGAGCTGGGTCTGCAGGACAGTGACTGGGAGCAGCTCCAGGCTTGGCCCTTGGACTTTTAACCAGAGCCTGCGCTGCCCGGGGCCCGGGGAAACCGGTGGTTATTCCTGTTACCGGGGCGGGTCCAGGGCCCCACGGACTGCCCCACCTTGAACGGGAGCTAAACACCCTGAGGCTGGGCTCACTCACCCTCGGGAGGATGCGGCCCGGAGTAAGACACACACACACACACACCTGTGGCCGCACTGAGGGCACGGCCCACTGATGGCTGTCACTTCCCACCTCTCACAAAGGCCAGCAGTAACCTCTACTTGGTCCTGAAAGTGCAGTCAGAGGGGACCAGGATGGCCTCGCACACCTTCCCCCTTTTGGGCATCATGATCTCATTCTTCCTAGATAGACTGGGACCAGTATGTCTTTTCTGTCTTTCACTTGATGACACTCATTTGGCACCTGCCCTGTCTTCTGTGAGGATGGGTTCCCGCCCAGAGTTGCAGCTCTGGATCCGGGAAGAATCCCTGAAAGCAGTACCCCAGCGCGCCCCCCTCCTCCCCCTACACACACACCAAACAGGTAAGTGTCTGAAAAGGGGGAGAGGGGAGTGGGGGGCAGAGCTGTGTGGAGGGAGCAGGTCTCCCTAAGTGGTTCGGTTATCACACTCAGTGAAGCTCTGTGACATGGAAGAAACCTCTCTGCACATTTCTGAGGGAGAAACAATGTGTTTGAGTTCAATGGATTAATTTAACCAAAGGTTTAATTGAGCCCCGGGGCTAATGGGTAACTGCATGGAAATTCCACTCCGTGTCCAGGTCAGGGGAGTAAGCTGAGTAAAGAGTAAAGACACTCTGTTCAGACATGTGCGCCAACCTGGAGGACAGGCATGGGGGAGGCTCAGGTGACATCTGCTCAGGACAAACGTGGCACGTGGCCATGTACATGAACAATTGTTCATATTTTATTTTATGCCATTTTTAGGCCTTTTGTGAGAGGGAAGCCGCATCTATTTATAGTAGCCTCACAGCAGCTAAGCCAAAGCTTAAGGACCAGCTGTGTGAAACTTCATTAGGATTTTAATTACTTTGTTTAACTATCTAGAAACTCCCAAGCTGCTTTATTACAATTAACTTACTTTCCATGACCATGGCCTGGTCTGCTGGCATAATGTTCACGAATGGCACAAACTGGGCACATGTAAACACAAACCTATCTATCTATCTATCTATCTATCTATATTTGATTTTTTACAGAGAGGAAGAGAGAGGGATAGAGAGTTAGAAACATCGATGAGAGAGAATCATCGATCAGCTGCCTTTTGCACACTCCCCCCACTAGGGATGTGTCCACAACCAAGGTACATGCCCTTTACCGGAATCAACCCTGGGACCCTTCAGTCTGCAGGCCTACGCTCTATCCACTGAGCCAAACCGGTTTCGGCTCGCAAACCTATCTTTTAAATTATGATAGTGACATATGTTCGTGGCAGAACATTTTGAGAATAAGATAAGCAGGGTAGGAAAAAAGCATCACTAACAATCTCATTTCTTATGAAAATAACTGTTAAACTTTTGATTTTTGTCTTGTGTGGGTTTTTTTTTAAATTTGTCTTTATTGAAGAAAGTATTACAGATACTTTTCTCCCTTTCCCCCCAATAGCCACTCTTAGCCCACTTCCACCCCTTACCCTATGCCCTGTGTTGTTTTTTTAAACAGAAACAAAAAGCAAGCTGTTTGTGTGTTGTGATTGTTAGCTTGCTATGTTGTGATCATCTTTCCATGTAGAATATTTTCTACAGCATAATTCGAATGACTGCATGATGTTTAATTGGACACAGAGAGTAAATCATTAGGCCTGTGCCAAACATTAAACATTCAGGTTGTTTCCACTTTTGCTGATATAGGCTGATGACATCCCTGTTTTTCTAAATCTTGCTGCCGCTCAGCGTTGGTTTCTTAGGTTACATAGGCACATCATGTTAAAGGCTTTCCACCTCGAAAAGTTCCAGTCTGACTTCCCTCCCTCTTGCCAGCATTGGGCATTATTTTTTTCCCCAGAAATACCCATTTCTTGCCCTAATCAGTTTGGCTCAGTGGATAGAGCGTCAGCCTGCAGACTGCAAGGTCCCAGGTTCGATTCCGGTCAAGGGCATGTATCTTGGTTGCGGGCACATCCCCACTAGGAGGTGTGCAGGAGGCAGCTGATTGATGTTTCTAACTCTCTATTCCTCTCCCTTCCTCTCTGTAGAAAAATCAATAAAATATATTTTTTTTTAAAAAAAGAACTATCCATTTCTTTGCTCATTCAATACAACTCTGCCTATTTTAAATGCCAAGTGTGCAAACTAATTTAGAATATTTATTAAACCATCAAACAAGAATCAATAACTACTTTGCCTCCACAATGCTCATGCGAGCCTCTTATAGGGATGTGGCAGGTCCATTTACTGTTTACCTACTGTGTGCCAGCCACAGAATATTTCTAATCCATGGCCACCCTGTAGATGGAATAGATTACATCAATATTTTATAGATGAGGCTCAGAAAAAAAATAATAATTTCCCCAAGGTAACCTAGTTCTTAAAGTGGTTGGGCCAGTAAGACCAAAACATGTTCTAGCGCTCTCTGCTGGTGAGGATGTTTTATGGGAGGGGGCTAACTCTAGATGTAATCTGATATTGTAGTAGTGGCCCAGTGCACGGATTTGTGCACATTGAAAGGAAAGTAGAAGAAATATTTTAATATCACTATTCACCCTTTCTCTATAATAGAAGTGTTAACCAAATTCACAATCAACAATGACATATGAAAACACGCATGCAGTTGGCACCAGTGAGAGCTTTATATGCATGCACAAGTCAACTTAGCCTTTTATGTATATAGAATAAACTTGCTTAACTAGACCTGCTTTCTGATTTAGCTAAACTTTTTTTCAGCCAATGGAGCTCCCCAACTTCTCTTTCAGGTAATTGTCAGCAACACAGCAGAAAACAAGGTCCACCATTTCATACTTCTTTTCAGTCGGGTCAAGTTTCTAAGCTTTCTAAATCTGTTTTCTGGCTAATGAAAAGAAAATAGGATTCCACCAAGTCTCCTATCTACCTTCTCCAGGACTTCTGTGAGATCAAATGAGATGAGGCACGTGAAAACACTTCACAGACATTTGGTTGAAGTGTGAAATGTTTGCACCTGGCTATAAAGCAAGTCGGTTTCCTGGGCTGAAGAAACTGCAAGAAGGCTGGGCGCCACTAGGGAGAGGAAGCCAGGCATTGCTACATGACATCATTACCTGGACTGACACTTAGCACATTAGCCTAGCCTTTTATATATATAGATTTCAGCATCAACTATAATGGAAATAATAGAAGCATTAGAGCAAGAGGATTTGGGTGTCAAAACAATCTCTCAACTTCTCCACACCAGTTTTCTCTGTGGGTTATTCTGAGGTACAAATAAGACTGAATGAGAAGCATTTAAAAGCCTTAAAGTGCTTTTTAAAAAATGTCTTTTTATTTAAACCATCTTAATCTACTTACTTTATCAATTATTCCAAATTTACTTATTTTTCACCTAGTTACTGATCAACTTCGAGCAACTTCCATGACACAGCGCCACCTTGCCACAAAAGGCATAAAAAGAGTGGCCTTTAGCCCTGGTGCCCTGGACAGTGAAAACAGTGGAAAACAGAAGCTCGGGTGATGTTTAAATAAAAATGCAAGGCAGACTCGGATTAAGTGAGCAATCTAGTTGGGACTATAAATGTTACCAAAATGTAAAACAGGAGCTCTGTTGGAGGTAAGGCCTAAGGGGAGAGTTGCCCTGGGCAATAAACAAGGGAAGGAGGGCCCACTTCGGGAGAGGAAATTCTACACTTCCTCCTTGGTTGCAGGCCTAGGAGACTAGACCTTAAACTGTAATTCCTTTTGATCAGCCAAGGTTTCTATTTCCAATTACTTTCATATTGACCCTTCGAAGCACCCATTCTGAAGACTTTTTTTTTGCATGCACGAACTGTTTTGATGGACATATACAAGGGTTAATTTCAAAAAGAAAGAAAGAAAAAGAACCTGCAAGTAATGGCTGACTCGCAAACAAACAACCCTAGCAGACAGTGAAGACTGACGTTAGCGGAGGTGTGACGGTGGCTGTCACTCTAACAGAAGCCGCCTGACCGTGGGAAACAGGCTGTGGTGTGAACTCTGGGGCTCCGTGTTGGCCCTGCTGCCTGCATGGGCTTCAGATGAAGTTGCCATTAGACTGCACAACAGGCTGTCCTAGGGGGCTCGAACTTCTGTATAAAAAGCATTGTTTTATCGGGGTTGTGTTTGTTCAGGCCATTCTCACATCAGCATGGGGTGGATGTGGCCACATTTGGGAGCACATCACCATTTTGACCACTCCTGGGAATTTCAGCTGGACTAACTGGTGGTTCATGGCCGAGACAGCTCA